GTTTAATTCTAATTTAACTTGCCATTCCAAGTGGGACTGTTGTGCAACCGAAGTCATGATTCACTCATTTGTTCTCTGTAGATCTAATTATTACAACGCAGTGCCTGTGAGGCCCCCTCAGGCGCTCATTCACTACTCCAAATGGTCTAACCTTCTGGGGAAGGGAGTGGGCCTTTAGTTATTGTTCTTTTGAACTGTGCAGATGCCTTTCGTACAGTCTCTGGGAACACACTGGCAACCGTTTTACCTCTACCATTTTCATCATACCAAGCTTATTACTAAGGATTATTGGAAGAATCCTGTGCTGGCGCAGGCTGCGGTGTATTTGCGCATTTCCATTCTTGAGAACAAGACCAACTTTCGAAGCGCAGGACCAATTTGCATGTGTTTGGGGATACCTTACGGGCCTTCTCAACAAAGGGCACATCGCTCAGAAAGCGTAGAAGGGGCAGAATAGAAACACCCAAAGCATAACTACAGCTGTTCTGTTACCAGATGCCCCTGCTGGTGAGCCTCAGAGTAGGACAGGACTGGACGCTACTGCTGAGGAGGAAGGTCACTCACTATTCACCCTCCCGTGTTCAATACATGCTCACCAGCATCAAAAGGAAGATTTTTATTTCATTCACCAGCATCCTAGACATGTTCCGGGCGGTCTCAGTGTGCTTCCACTGAGAATTTTAATTGTAAGGAATGCTTTAGAATGCTGCCATTCTCTTGACTTTAGAGCAAAGAACTGAGACACCTACATACATGCGGTTTTAATGGTTACTCAGACTCTTCTGATATTCAGTAGCCACTTCGTAATAGTGTTAAAAATATGAAGTTTAAGGAAATGAGAATAAGAGTAAAGAATTGAATGACCATTAACCAAAGACTTGAAATAAAAGAATCCTAGTTAGGATTAATTAGCCAAGTAAGGATTAATTGATTGACTATTTTAATTTAAAAATTAGGAATGCCTGACTTAATACACTCATTCATTCATTCATTCATTCATTCAATTCAGGAAACATTTCTTGAATGCTCATAGTGTCCTAAGCTCTAGAGATGCTTGGCACCAGTGCCTTGACTGTCCCATTTCCTGCCACGAACTTGGCTTGGCCCAACCCCCAATCTCTGGTTATCTTCCCCCTCCAGTGCCTGCCATCTGTGGGTTTGTGCATGAGCCCCAGCAGAGCAGCGGTCCTGCATGGAGTGGGACTATCCTCACGTCTTGCTGCGTTCTTGAAGTCGTTTTGCTCTTTTGATCCCTGTCTACTCCAGCCCCACTTCTTACTTTTCCACAAAGAGATCCAGCAAGTGGTTCTGAAAGGCACAGCCTAGCCAAAGGTTCTTCAGAATCTTCGGAGGATGCCTCTGCCATTTGAAAAGGGGAGCCAGGAGAAATTTTCCCCACTGGATATCATTTCCAAGCCAGCTCAGCCTGGTGCAGCTCTTCATTCTACATACTTTTTAGAAAATTCTTTCTTTTTTTTTTTTATTTAAAAAAAAATTTTTTTTTAATGTTTATTTCTGAGACAGAGATCGTGAGTGGGGGAGGAGCAGAGAGAGAGGGAGACACGGAATCTGAAGCAGGCTCCAGGCTCTGAGCTGTCAGCACAGAGCCCCACGCGACACGGGGCTCGAATTCGAAAACTGTGAGATCATGACCTGAGCCGAAGTCGGTCGCTCAACCGACTGAGCCACCCAGGCGCCCTGAAAATTATTTCTTATTTTCATGGCATAGATACCTTTAGGGGGTGGTTCTTCATAATGGACTACAACAGGCCATTTCCTAAACGAGGAAAAACCAGGGGGTGAAGTTTTTAGCATTAGGACCGTCCGCCTAACATGTCTTCATTTTGATTTAAATTCAGGACTCTTGGTGTAGTAATATCGTGCCATTCTGTGGCCTCTGCTTTGCTTACCCACCTGCCACATAGTTCATGACTGACAGGATTGGAGAGCAGCATGACACCATTGGTCCCTTAAAGACATGCTTGGTAGTTACCTGGTTTTAATTTCAGATCTATTTTTTTACTTGTCTCTGCATACATGAATACATCGCAAGATAAATAGCTAAAATAAACTGCGGGCATAACGATATATGTGTGTGGTTATGCATAGGTACATTTACCCTGGTGCTTATGAGTGTGTAGCAAGTATAACTTTAAGTTATAATTTGAAGGAAACAGATACCATATCATTTTCTCTTGATTTAAAAGACGTCAAATGTATCACAACACAGAAGTTTCTGTTTTTGAGGTCCCCGGTGCCAAGATCCATATTTATTTTCATGACCTGATATCCAAGAAATGAATTACTGTTGCCCTGTCATCACACATACCATTTTGTTCATCAGAATCGCACCTTATGCCAGAGCGTACCTTGGCAGGAGTGACCGAAGCTGTTCTTTCATGGACAGGCCAGTCACACTATTTTGACTCTTTTCACAATAGGCTCCAGTCACCACAACTGAGTCGGTTGTGTGGAAAACCACAAATCCACACTGATTCATGGGAAAGCTGGAAAAAGTGGCTAAGCCACCCCATATTTTCTTTCTTCTACTAATAAAGATCTTGCATAAAACTTTTTAAGACACAAGTAGATAAACACCACTTATATTTTGTCTTAGCTACTAATAGAAGGCTTTGGCTGCTGAATCTGTTATTTGTAAAAGGGAGAAGACACATTGAAAACTTAAAAGGCAATTACCATAGAAGGAAACATTGGGGAGCAATGTTACAGTGAAATACTAGAAACAATTTGGGGGCTCTTGGGTGACTCAGTTGGTTAAGCAACCAATTCTTGATTTCAGCTCAGGTCATGATCTCATAGTTCATGAGTTTGAGCCCTGCATCAGGCTCTGCGTTGACAGTGGGGAGACTGCTTAGGATTCTCTCTCTCCCTCTCTCTCTCTGCCCCTCCCCCCTCATTCTCTCTCTCTCTCTCTCTCTCTCTCTCTCTCTCTCTCTCTGTTAGATAAACTTCAAAAAATAATCTAAATGGCCATCCCTTAGGAAATAGATTTTAAGACTCTGGGATAAATATTCACTGGACCATATTTCATCTAAGTCATGTGTCAACCACTGGACCCAAGTGCAACCCACTGTTTTGTAAATAAAGTTTTATTGGAACATTAGCCATGCTCTCTTGTTTATGTATTGTCTATAGCTACTTTCATGCTACAAGTGCGGAGTTGATTTGTTAAATGTATGCCGTATGGCTCTCAAAGTCAAAACAAAATATTTACCGTCTAACCATTTACTGAAAAATCTTACCAACCCCTGAAATAAGTTTAAAATACCACATATTGTAAAATGCACCATTACTTATGTACCGCTAACAAAAAAATTATGCCAGTTAAACTATGACAAGCTATCAAATTGTAAGAAGCTACTGATTTTAGAGACATTAAACTATAAAAAGAAGGGGTGCCTGGGTGGCTCAGTCAGTTGAGCGTCCGACTTCAGCTCAGGTCATGATCTCACGGTTTGTGAGCTTGAGCCCCGCATGGAGCTCTGTACTGACAGCTCGGAGCCTGGAGCCTGCTTCGGATTCTGTGTCTCCTTCTATCTCTGCCCCTCCCCCCACTTGTGCTCTGTCTCTCTCTGTCTCTCAAAAATAAATGAATGTAAAAAAAAAATTTTTTTTTAATTAAAAAAATTTTTTAAATATAAAAGGAAGATATCTTAGACTAGAGTCGTGGTGGTACGTAACACTACAAGTATAAACTCCAATGTTGGCATCAGCGTGGATAATCTCAAATGCTTCGTGTTGAGTGAAGAAAAGGCAAGTGTAGAGCACTTTGCAAAATGATGTGAACAACATGATATTTACACGGCTCTTAAAAAACCAAGCAACATTATGAATTTCTATGACTGTAGATATGTATAGGCAAGGATCATTTGGAAGAATTGGAAGAATTCCGAGGAAACTGGTAGCAGAAGTTTGCGCAGAGAGGAAGCGGATGGAAGACAAAGGCGGGGTCAGTCTTCATCTGTGATCTTCTTAGGTAAAGCTTCAACTTCACTTCAAAGAACTCTTGCTCAGAGTCATTCAGCTTTTTAAAAAGAGGTGATTTACTAATAAAAATGAATTTTAAAAAGCGTCAAGACACGAAAAAGCTGCAAGAAAATATTAACGGTGTTAAATTTTGTGTGGTAGAAATACGGATGATTGCTTTTGTGTTGTATTTCATAATAATAGTAAAGAACTCCATGGATAACTAAAGACGGTTAGTCATATTCTTCATTTCTACCTCAAGCAAAAGAGATTAAGGTTTGAAGAAGTACATGTTAATCAATTACCTGACGTTACAAACTAATCCTGTTTTTCTACTGTGGCATGAAGATTAAACAACGTGCAAGTCAGGGCCAAATTTCATAGTTAAAACTTTTTCTCATAATGGTGGTACAGCTAATCTTTAAATACAATGTACTTTATTCCTCACCATGAAAAACCACCAACTGGAAAAGTTAAATGTCAGGTGCATGTTAGTGAACAGAAATAGCTCGTCGTGAGTCATGTTATTGACGTACTGATGTCATTTCTTTCAGCCTGACCTCACTTGTTTTGAAATGTACCTTGTGATTTTACACAATTTTATATGTTTTCACGTGCAATTCAGACCCTTGTGTTACTTATTAAATGCCTTCATTTTGTCTGTCTATAGCAGGGCTTCCAAAAATATTGTCTGTGAGTGTCATTCAGAAGTTCCAGATTGTTTCTTTTGATAACAAGGATCCCTACCACTGCTTTTACTCCGTTTTTGTTTTGGTCTTGTTGTTTTAGCATAGCTTTCTCTCTAGAGGAGTGTTTCGTCAGAAATAGGTCAAGCTACCTGTCTTCGAGATTAAGAAATAAAATATGTCCAAGCAAGTGACAGTGGGAAGTGGGGACCTGGGGCTTCGAGTTTATATGAAGCTATAGACCATGAGACGGAGGTCTCGTGCCACTAGAACAAACCAGAGTGCTGTGTGTTTCTCACCACTTAACTCTGGCTTTTCTTTTTCCAGTTCAATTTCACCATTTAGTATTGAGAGCACAAGACGCCAGAGACGGTCTGAATCCCCAGACTCCAGAAAACGGCGTATCCACAGATGTGACTTTGAAGGATGCAACAAAGTATACACAAAAAGTTCTCACCTGAAGGCTCACCGAAGGACACATACAGGTACTGTGTTACAGGGCTTCTCACTGGGGTGGGGGTTCAGTGAAAATCCCGAGGGGGCCACTGATTGCTTCCGGGGTTGTGAGCGTTTTGGAATGCTGTGTTGCTTCTTACCCAGCCATCTCAAATTGGCTTCCTTTCTGAGTGGAATGATCCCCTCTCTCAGCTGAAAAAGGTTTAAGTCTTAGTGAACTTTAGCAACCAGTGAAGTAAGTCTTCTGTGTCTTAAGGAGGTTTACGATGGTATGACACAGGGATCTAGCCTTCTTCTATGATCAGTGTTGCCACTTAATTACTGTCTAGTTTAGCAGGTTTTAAAATATCCACAAAGCACATTGAAGAACAAGCTGAACAAAATTGTTCTGTTTTCTTAAAGTTAGCATTTTAACCACCACTTAGATCACGCTTTTCTCCCCCCCGGTCTCGTCCCCCAGATAACCCAATAAGTAAACCAAAAAAATAAAATAAATCGACGTACACATAGCACTGTAAAGAGTTTAAAAAATATTTCCACATGATTCCATTTCATCTCACTGGCGTTGTAGATATAGAGAGAGGAATTTTAGGAAATTGAGACCACATGTGATTTACTGACTTTGTCACCATCCACTCATCCACACACCCACCCATCCCCCAGCTGTCGCCCTCTCCACCCGTCCATGTATTGATCCACCCACCCCTTCCATCCTCTGCCTTGTGTGTCCCTTAGCTGGCATCCCCTGGCTTCCTTGGCTCCTGAATCCTGTTGGGAGCCACCAGTGGAAGGCGGAAAGCTCTGGGAAGAGACTGGAGGTATAAGGAGGGCCCCGCAGTTACACTACCATTTCTCGGAAAAGTGGTGACTAGAATGTGTGAAGCTCAAAGAAGCAGGTGGAAGAGGGAAACCCATTCACACACATTCCTGGCAATTCCTGGTAGCAACATGCTACATGTGGAGTAAGGGGAGTCCAGTGACTCTCCTCAACAGGAATCAGACACCAGCACCTGCCTCTAGCTGGAAACTTCAAGTGTAACAGACTCCCATTGGGCTGTGTGAATAGTATTGCCATCTCAAATATATTAAAATAACCACACTATGAAAACCATTTCCCAGCTGAGGTAGCAAAATCGTTTAAGCCAGCATTCTTTGCCATTTATTTACTCATGTTATTAGATGGTTTCCAAAGGTACTTTACAGAATCTGCTCCATGACTCTGCAAACACTGAGACCGGGCATCGTGTGTGTGTCTGTGTGTGTGTGTGATGAAGTTATGGCATAGGAGGCTTGCCTGAGGTCAAAAAAGCATTGTAGAATCTGAAGCTTACTTTTGCTCATCTAACATATAACATATACTTTTAATACTTCCAATAATTCAGCATATTTTGCATACTTCTCATCTTTCATCCCTGTTCCCAATCCTTTTCCCTTTTGTACTTAATTCCAGATTCTTGCCTCTCCATTGATTCCGAGCTTCCCCAGGAGAGGTTTTTATTTCATTTCTTAGACATTATTTTTGAATCAGTTTCTTTACCATTTAGGCAAAGAATGAATATAAAAACATGAAAATCAAATAAGCATGTTCCATCCTGTCCGTGGATAATGAACATAAATCATAGTCGTTAAGTATGATCAGGTCATAATACTGAGTTTTAAAGGGAGCATTTCTATTATTTAAAAAAAAAAAAAAAAAAGAAGGATCTATCTACAGTAAACCACCATATATTTCAAGTTATTTCTATTTTCCTTGCGCATACTGAAATACATATTAACGTCATTTGTACACAGACGTCTCTATTCCGTTTATCCGAATGATGAACAGTGAACGAGGGGAAATGGTTTAATTAGGTGCTATTAAAGGATCTAACTTCATGGCATTAAGGGATTTGACATAGACTATGAAGGTAGGGGAGACATGATGTATAGTTCAAAGCATTATAAACTTTGAATGTTGAAGCAGAATTCATTAGCTTGGGTTATTAATAAGATGAAATCATAGACTCCTAGGGTCCAAATGGACCTTGTACGCCACAGAGTCTACTTTGTTCCCTAACTAGGGGAATCCCTTGGGTGTCATCTCTTACAAAGAACAAGTCATTCCGATGCAGTTTTCTGCACACGCACACATCTTTTCTTTTATCGGATCGTCACAACACCAGGTGGTTGCCGCTGTCGTTACCTCCTTTGTGTAATGGTGTCTCCTGGTCAAGTATTGTTCCCGTAGCAGTGGTTTTTAGTAACTTCCAAGTGGCAGACGGTTGATTGTTCTGCAAGACAAGTTGGGTGACATTTCTGAGGACCAAGTCCTCCCCTCATACGGTATTGAATTGCCTGTTATGACACTGTTCGGCTCTCAGTACTTTCGGGTTAAATGGAATAGCTCCAATTATCATGCTCTCATTTCCGCTTCCTGGCCCTGGTGCCCCTCGAAACCCCATCGTCAACGACTTGCATCTTCATTTCTCCAAACCAAGTGTCCTCAGTCATCTTAGCCACGTCTTTCTAGCTGTATTCCAACATGTCACTGTGTCTTTTAAAATTTTCACACCACAAATTGAGGAAAGAGGTTTTGAAATGCAACAATTGTATTGTCTTCTAGCAATTGACTCTCTTTCTTAAGTCAGCTAAATCAAAATGTGCTGAACACTACATCTTGCCCATCCCTTGTACCTATAACTGGTTTCTTTTAAAACCTAAACATTCAGGGGCTCAGTCAGTTAAGCATCCGACTTTGCTTCAGGTCATGATCTCACGGTTCATGAGTTTGAGCCCCACATCGGACTCTGTGCTGACAGCTCAGAGCCTGGAGCCTGCTTCGGATTCTGTGTTTCCCTCTCTCTCTGCCCCTCCCCCGCTCATACTCTGTCTCTCTTGCTCACAAAAATAAATAAAAAATGTAAGAATGTTTTTTTAAACCCGAACATTCAATGTTGTGTTTGTAGTTAGACCTCTCCCTCAAGGGATGGCTCCCTTGGGAGTAGTGCCTTTCCTCTCCCTGGACACTTTTCACTGCAGGCTGGCTGATCTCTTGTAGGAGATACAGGCCAGAATTGGTATTCTGAGGGCTGCACCTGCCCTTTCAAGTCTGGGAAATAATTATTCTATATCCATTTGATATTGGGGCCCATTCTCCCAATAAGTTGAAATGACATTGAACTCTCTCCCTGCCCGCCTTGCATTTAGTATTTTAGTTCTGTCCTTCAGCTTCTCCATATCTGCCAGGTATTAAGTAGGACAGGTTCAAGGACAAAGCCCTGAGATGTGATCTCAGAGACTTTCGTCCAAGTGGGTCTTAATTCATTAACGAATAGCTAAACATCCACCTAATCGTCCTACCTCCAACCCATCTTTCTTGGTCTCCCAGCTACATCAGAATGTCCTTGTGAAATCCCTGCTCCAAACCAAGGCATCCCAAATCCATTCATCGACTTCACAAGGAGATTCTTACTCTGCGAGACATAGCCTCCTAAATTAGCAAATAATAGTACTTCTAAAAAGAAAGAATGGGATTTGGTTGATTTACTGCCACTTGGTTCAGAGGGAGCCCATACTTGTTTCTGATTTATAATTCTATGCGAGATTTCTCAACTTTGCGTTCAAGATGAAATCAACACTGGCTGTATAGGGATTGAGGTTGGCTTGCTTTGCTTTTAACAAATATCTTAGCCTTACCTTTGCTCCAGGCACATTGAGTAAGTTATTTGTGTGTGACCAATCACAATGAGTGTAGCGTGTGGGATTATAACATGACTTATAAGATCTACGCACGCTATAGGAGGTGAGCAAGTAGCCATGAGACATTTTCTTTGATAAAGTCACATTAATTTTACCTTTAACACTTGATCTTTTGTTGCATTATTAGCACATGACCAGTCATCTATTTAGGACTACGCAGTAAATTGAACACATTGGTAGAAAAGAGGAACATTTTCTAGATAATAGCAATTTAGAGTAAAAAGAGAAATTCTACAGAATGCCTTTTTAAATTTAAAAATGATGTAAGTATATTGTCATGACTGTGCAGTTTAGATAATAACATAAATACTTGCCCGAACATTTTTAAATGCCTTTACTAACACTCGCCTGTGGTAAATTGTTTAAGGCACAGTAAAAAGGAGGAAAAAACTATCTCAGCAATCCTATACAGCAATCCTGTCAGCAGGTACATTGTTCCCCTTCACTGGTATAGATTGTGTCTCCTCTACGTGAAGCAGTGGACAGTGTATTTAAAATGAATGTGCAGTATAATGAAATTAATGGCTATCTAAGCCTTTGTTATACATAACTAGCATGTTGCTATGATTTTCCCTCAGGTCAAGAATTTTATTACTTATTAAATGATCTAAATATAAGTTTTAGAGGGAAATAGTCTTACAAATCTGGAATTGCTATTTACAATTCTCTTACTTTCTAAATATATCTATCATAGTGTTTTCGAAAATGCAGTACAAGAAACATTCAGGCATCAGTGATTCCTTCAGCCACTAGATGGTGCACTACAACCAGCTGTTGGGTCTACTCTAAAAGGGTCTGAGGGTCCCCTGGAACCCTCTGGTGGTGTGTGGAACATGACGTCATTATCACTGTTCTGCAGAATATTGCAATTTACTTATGAACAAAGGAAAGAAAATGTAAAGATACTTTTTAAGCCAGACTTTTTAAAAAGTAATTTTAGCATATAAAAATGCTCAGTTTCAGATGAATCTGGGAATACTTTATACTCCAACTCGATATCCTACTCTCCAGTAAGTCCGTGAGCCTCATTTAGCCGTGTTGTCCAATATTCATTTTAATTCATATGAAAACTATCTGCCTGAATTTTAATCATCAGTAAATGTAAAGCAATCACATTTCTTATCTATCTGGCTTTATCAGAAGTAACTCATGTCTGAATTTTACACATCAAAGAAATTAACTTACATGGATGCTTTAAAATTATTAACCAATTGCGATTTAAGTCTATAAAATGTGTCCTTCCCCACCTCCACAGATGAAGGCAATGATACATTATTTACCTCTTCCCTTG